GTCAATTGTGCATTATGGTATGTAGGTGTGTATGGGTTATTATAATTCACACTTCACACAGAAAAAGACGATTTGGCCTCTTAAGCTATTATGAACCAAAACCTTTCATGTTAGAAGGCCCCTGTCGCCTGCATTTTGTTTTGTTTTAAAGCGTGAGGTTTAAAATAATAATAAGAATGCTTATATAGTACCACTTTTCTAAATAACGATTTCCCATCCATATCTGTGTAATTTAATAAAGCAGACGAACTAAAGGTTTAATTCTAAGTCTTTTTCACCCAGGAAGGGCACACTGAAAATAACTTATCGTGTACAATGGCAATCTGAAAAGCCTACCCTATTACAAAGCAGGGAATTCTACCGGAGTTCTGAGTGATTAACGGAGCTCATGAGTAGACTATAGCAGCTGGGACCCACCAACATTTTGAACCCACCACCTTACAATCCTAAATCCAGAGCCCCAACCACTGTTCCTGATCTACTATTGTGTCCAGCCTGACGAGGTAAAAGCTTGATGAGTTTGAGTATCGGGATATGTTAAGGTCGTCTACAGTTTTCTGCCTAACTGGAGTCAAGTCACACATCTCTCTCCACCAATTGCGTTCATTCTTTCAAACCAATTTTGATCTCTGAGTGTTCCCTCAACTTCACAGACGTGGATCGATATGAACTCTTTCTATTCTTACAAGAGAAGAATATGTTGTCTTTCTAAGGCCAGAGAGAGTGAGGGAGAGAGAGAGCTTGTCAGAACTGAAAGGAAATGCACCCGATTAACTGAGAGTTGAAAAGTGAAAAAAGCCCAAGGAAAACGTCTACCCACATACAGCGGAAACCGGAAACTCATCTGAACAAAGAGGAGGCTCAGACGCAACGCTGCCCTTTCATGCTCAATTCTTCAAAAGGGTCTTTCCTCGCTGTTAGTTCACCACAGACGGCTCTCGATTTGGGTTATTTTTCATTTTATTAATTTTAAGAACAAGTACAATATTGTAGTGACTTTAAGATTCTTTGCAGTTTTATTTACGTTTTTTTTACTATCTGCTTTTATATCGGGGCGGTTTTTAGTAGGCGATACACCTGACTGCCATTTCCAGTAGTTCATAGACGAAGTGTATGATTATAAAAAATAATAATATTGGGCCCACAAGTGCTATTTACTTTATCCACAGCACATGGCTGATATGTAGTCTTTGTATTTGTGGCTTTAGTTGTCGAGTATTCTCAACTGATGTGTACAGTTATCATGCGTTAACGACAACAGTTAACCTGTAGCTATAGCACTGAATGGTTCCCATGGGGCTCTTCAAAGAAAAACAATTAAAGTCTATGGGCTAATTCAGCCTCAGATAACCTGACGCAGACAAACAAGTTTTGAAATACTTAACCTTGCAAGATTCAGTTCAACAGTCGTTAATCTGAGTTGACATTAACTTTAAAAAAAAAACAAGAGGCTATATGGTACCACTGAATGGAAACGACTCACTAGAACCATTAAAAGATTTTATTGATAAAAAGCATAGAGGCAAAAAAAATAAACCTATGTAGGAAACAATGCTCTGTAAATAGGCAAATGTGAGCTTTTCACCAACCTCAGCCCAATTATCTAATCGACCAATAGCATTCTGTAAACCAAAGATGTGGAAAAAATAATGTTGGAACATTTGTCGGCAGTAATTATATTATGACTGTTCCTGCTTCCGGTAGTTTCTTTGTAGCAGATTTTATTCTATTTTTTTTCACGTTTACACACAAGGTGCAACAGATCGTTCTACACAAAAGGTGTTCTTTCAAGAGGAAATAAAGTATTGTACTGCATACTGCAAATTCTTGAAGTTCCTACATTGCTTAAGTAAACATCGTGTCATCTATCCATTTGCCTAAATAAAGTGAACAACGGTCCCAGATAACTAATTTACATAATGATCCAATTAAAAAAGTCCCTAGAGCATCTTGTAATACCTGCAAACGTAGCACGGAAAATAATAATATACTTTTCTGGTACAGTCGGTAATTCTGTTACTAGAAGGCTACCGAACTGTCCTAGAATTAATCGTTGACACTGGAACAAATGTCAGATTATGTTTGTGGCAGGAACATAAAAAATAAATATCCATTTTAACTGGCGGGGATTGAAAAATTCTGGCTTCTCGTAATGCCTCGATTTTCCAAATGAATCCAAAGGGACTGTTTTCCACAGTATAGCACGCTATGGGACCGAAGGGTTACTTTTTTTCATCCGAACTGCAAAGCTCTGTCCACAACGTAGCTGCAATGTGTTAGAGTTAAGAGTTAAGTGTTTCGCAGAGTAATGGGCTACGGGTGTCCAGTGTCATAGAGAGAGACAGAAATCCATCGAGATTCGTGCTTTCTGTAATAAAATCTGCGACAGTTGCAGCGGACAGAGAGAATACCTTGACTTGCTAAAAAACTGTGGTTCTCAAACCGTTATTTGTTTACGCAGGGAGCTGTTAGTTACTAGTTAACTAGAACGCACTGCAGTTTTGGGAATTCCAGCTGCATTACAAAATTTAGCTACATGACAACTATCGCTTCCGACACCCATTGCCTGTTAAAATAAATCCCACTTTTAACCGATCCAGGTAGCATAAATAGTTGTGTATCTTACAGCGCTTGGAGTTAGAGAAACCCGCTGTTAATTAAAATAAAAACAAATAGCTACATCTGTGACATATTTTAAAAGTATTTATGTTGCCTGAAAGATGGTAAAGAGAAACGCGATTGTCCGAGCAACTGTACCGGTTTTAATGTAGAGAAGGTAAACTGCAGGTAGGCTATTTAACTTTAAAGATGAATTCATATGGTAGCATCCATACGTTTTCCTAAACAGACTGGACTCCACGTTGCCCATCCTGTTATAATTTTACGTTGCTACCGTGTTTATGGGTTCCCTCAGCTGCTGAGCTACCCAGCAACTAATTTGATCGGCATCATCATATCTTAAATACTAGCACCGCGATATACATGGGCATCGGAGACTAAAGAGAGCATTTTGTCGTAGTCGTAGTTTTCCATTGGACAGTAAATGTGCTTTTAAAGGAACTACAAAACCAAATTTGCAAAACCGCACATTAGCGCTTGCCATCCACTGGCAAAGAGAAAGTTTAGTGATTCCACCAAGAAACATTGTTGCCGTCGGAGAGAAAATAAATATCACTTTCTGCATTGCAACTCCTGATGGCTTTTGATTCTGTCAAACGCTTGCCTGCAGTCCTCTCAAACGATACATATCCTTAGAAGAATTAAATGCTCTTTTATTTAAAGCCTGGGACGGATTGATAGATTGATTTCAAGAAAAAACGTTTTGCTCACACACTTCTTTATCGATCACTCTTTATTTCATCGTCAGTGTTCGATTCAGCTCAACGAATCAAAAGGAAAGCAGATGGAAGTCGATTGGAGATAACTGTTTTACAGTTTTATTTTTTCAATTAAGATGCACTATTGTTTGTGTAATTTAATCGTATCTACTTTATTTTTCATACTTCGATATTTTCTTTTTAATAATGTTGCTTCAAATCACGGATTCGAAACCTTTTACTTCTCGCCACTTGTATGAGTAACCTAGGTATACAGTATTCAATATAAAGCGTACTGTACCCTTCTGTAAAGCCCTAGAAAAAGTAGAATGCCTAATAAAAGCAAGTACTCTCAAAACGGAAAAATCTGAGTCTCGAGTCGCACAAGCATGCGCGCTGTCAAAGTAATTTAATCTAGAGTAACATTTTTGAGAATTATATCCTTAAATACCACGTTACAGCGTATATTTGATCAATCGAGTATAAATGATCTTTTTTCCCCATAGTAAAATTGTAAAACAATGTAAAGGGGTTTTGAATGATGCCCAGTTATATCTTATTCGTTCAAATTTACAGTTTAATATGAACATGTTTTCTATCAAGACAGTTCTTTGGGAACTAACACAAATAGCAAATTCAACCGAGACTAAGTTGAAAAAAAATAGCTGATGCCGATTATGCTGGTACCTAATCATTCTAAGACAAAATGGCCTACATATTTTTTTCAATTCCATATGTTAGCACATGCTAAAAACGTTTGCATACATCATAATACTTCATTTGCAAACACTCTACTTCATTTAATAAAAAACACACATGGGCATCCTTTTTACTGGACTAAACAAATGCACTACCTTTTAGACAGAAAAACCAAAAAGTAACGCAAATAATATCGTTCTTAGGTGACACATTCCTCCTAAATTTATTATAGTTTCTTTCGAAATAGTTTAAAAAATATGCTCTACAAAGTTACAATTTAAGAAAAATATATAGTAATACGCTACAAAATAAATGCTGTTGCAGAGTTATGTAACTAAAATAAAATATCCATTACCGCAAAGGAACGCGGCAGTCTTATTTCACAAGATCACTGTATAACGATATATTTTATTTTTATTTCAGAAAATACTCTGTGATTGCAAAGACAAATATTAAAACATGAACAATCTACAACAGGCAAGTTGTAATATATCATAAATGCAGCAGGCCATTAAGCTGAATTTCACCAGTGATTTCCCGATACGGTAAAGTATTTTGCAGAGACGTGTGTTTCTTTGAAAGATTTTAGTTAGGATATGTACTTTACAAATAAATCAAGAACTTTAGTTTCTTGCCACGTTTAAGAGTTAGGCTACATCACTGGAAATCGATATTTTAGTGTATCTACTTCCATTCATTCATCTACGAGAGCTTTTCAATTTCCTCGCGATTAAATTAGATAGTTTGACTAGACGCTTTTGTGTCTTAGTGAGTGACCTATTACTCCCTTTTCAACTGAATGTTTAATTTGCGATTTTTAAAAAAAGGAATCGGGGCTGAAGAGAGGCCTTTTAGCGGTTTTTAACCAAGAAGGATTTGGCTGCAGATAAAGTAACCGCCTGGCATGGTTGGACACATGCTAATTAAACCAATTTCCAATAGACACATAGGGTTGTTTAGACACAGTTCTCATTGGAAAAAAAACTTCCAAATTTAGTAGTGTTAAAAGTAATCAAAAATGTAAAATGTTTATTTAGATAGACTTTTTATACTGTGCAACAGTAACAATACAATAGTTTTACATACAATCGACCAATACAGATATTTCAAACACTGTGGAATAAACACCACAAAACAGTTTCCTAACATGAAATGAAGGTCTTTATGTAGGTTATACATAGGTCTACACATCTTTTAGAGGATCAATGTCGTCCCTTCCTTTCACACCTAACACCTAGGTTGTGTAATATTATACCAGCCAGGCCACACCTCAGTGGCAGTGGCACAAACATGAAGAACCATCTCTTAGACTGAAACAGAGTCCCGCTAGCAATAAAAAGAACTCAGCTTATTAAAATTGAAATAGCTTTAAAGCAACACTTGAATGTGTCCTAGCAGTTGTCCTTTGTTTCTTATTAATACGCTCTATAAATACATCTCATAATACTGCCTCTAATTAGGATATATAGTAGTATGCAGTGTGGCATACTAAAAAAACAAACTGCTCCTTTTCTGTTTTTCTCCAACATGTACCCGCTTTAGGTCAGAAGATTGCAAATATCTGAATATATATTTCGATTTTTTTTTCCCTTTAAAGTCGCAACGCCCGTCGAGTATGATATAGGGAATGTTTTACAGTTCAAAGTATCGGTTGCCGGGAACACACAACTTCACGCCTGGCTTCATCCTGTTCTTCCTCCTCCTCCTCCTCCGATGATGGTGATGATGATGCGGTTTAGAAGGTCAAAAAAATCGCAGTTGTACACTTTAAGTAGAGGCAAATCAAATGTCTTGATTGAAGCTATTGAACCATGAACAAAAAAAAAAAAATAGACTGTACAAAAAGGGTCTCTCACAGCCTCTTCGATTAACACCCATTTTCACCCAGAAAAAGCCCTTCTCGAGCTTTCCTGTAAACGCTCTGGCATCGTTCCACGTCGAACCCTCCTCCAAAAGGGGACTTGCTGTGCTTTTTGTTTTTGTTTTGGCTGCAGTCACAGTAAGTACAAAATAGAAAATACATGTCTGTAAGTTTCTATTGAAGCGACTCCCACTAGAAACTGTCACATATATATATATAAAAGCTTCTACTACAGAGCAGAATTGGCATGGAAAGAGCTGAGTGATGTGGCGTTGGCGGGAGGGGGGGGGGGGGGCGGGCGCGTCAAAGTCATCCCGAAGACGTGGAGGAGCCGTTGAGGGAGGTTTTGCGAGCTTTGCTGCAGAAGGGGGGCGGTCGGATGGGGTTGGGATTGGCGCTCGTTCCGTTGACGGTGGTGGAGATGTGGGGGAAGTGGGGGTGGGGGGACTGGACCGGGGTACTGGGGCTGGGCAGGGAGGAGGAGGTGGAAGGGACTCCGGCGGGGCTGCTGGCCTTGTCGCTGCCCGAGTCGCTCTCCATCTCCGAGCGCGGGCCGGGGAGCCCTTCGTGCGCGGGGTTCACCTTCAGCCGTTTGCAGCTGGGCCGCACGCGGTACTTCAGAGGGAGGGGCCCGTTCTGGGGAGAGGAATGTCAAAGCCCAACGTCACTGGGAGCAGGGTCAAGGTCAAGCCTTTCAACAAAATTCACTTGGCCATAATAAGGGCCAATACGGAGGTTTAATGCCCTACTTCACTGTAAGTGCGACCATGAGAGGACCTTTCACTTAACTCAATTTTAAACAAACACAGATAATAAGCTACCCAGCCAAGATTCACTCATACTTTCAGTGTTCTAATTAGCTGATTCATTTCATACTGTATTTGAAACCAATGTTTCATTTATCATTTCAGCAGCAGTGTTACACTGCAAAAAAATATAAGGGAGATTTCAGATATTTAAAAAAAAGCCCCTAACACCATGACATGACAATTTAGGATTTTAAAACTTGAGTAAACCAACTTTTTATAGCATGAAAAGCACAGTAATTGTTTTTAAGGTCAAGTCAGTTTCTTACCCTTCTCCAGGTATAAATATAGGCAATGTCCATCAGTGTGTAATAATCTTTCAGTGGCTCATCCTCATACATGACTTCAATCTACATAAAAACATACTTAATTAGTATCTTCACTGCGCTTTGAGACATCTAACAACACCCAATAATATTTCACAGCCACAAAGTATACACAGCATGTCTGCAAACACATACCAAAATAACACCATATATATTTCTGGTAAAAATGATTTGGTTGGCAATCATTTTAACCCGCCAATAATGGCACTAAAATCACAGAATTCTATCATCCAGGATCATTCGTCAACACAAAAATCATGGTTTTTACTTAATATTTAAGCAACAATAACCTTTTAAGACATACAAATGTTTCACATGCAAAATCCTTATTTACTTGGCAGAGCGAAGGCATTTACCTGAAATGTACAAGGAATATCCATCTTACTTCGGAGAAACTTTCTTAAATGCATCACTGTCATGGCTGCAGGGCAGCGCAAATATCTCTTGTCATTCACCTGTACACACAAATAAAAAAAAAAAACATCACATATCGCACATACTTTCACACACAATAAAAATTCTGAGTACTATACAAGTTCTGAATATCCATTCTGGAAATAAAACCCAACATTACCTCTTCTTTTGGTTTGTCTTTTTCTGCGGCGCCTTGCTTTTCTGCCCTGTAACAGGGAGACAAATATTCATTTTACGTTTGCTTTAACAGACGTAGGAGAGAGAGTTTCCCATTTGGTTCACACTTACTTGCTATGATCAAAGAACTCAATGGACAGGCTGATGATTTCATCATCGGTGATAATTCTCTTGTCTTCGTCGGCAACTTCTCCTCTGTCTTCATTGGATCCGTTGGTAGCTGAAAAATTAACGCGCCAATTAGAAAATGGTCGAGGCTCTCTAAATGAACTATGTGAAGTATCGGAATGCAGTTCGACTGCCATGACATACAAAAGGCGATATACTGTGAGTGAATTCAATGCAGAGATTTAGGTAGGTGTTTTAAATATAAGGGAATGCAATACTAATGAGAAGAAAGTTATATGCTTTACACACAATAAAAATGCACGAATGACACTGAAGGAAACCGAGTGTGGTTCCAAGTCACCTTTCTTTCTCTAACGATGTTGACATTCTCACAAAAATGAAAGAGCCATATTTCTTACACAAAAGAACCAATGTTTTGCCCCCCCCGCTTTAAGGTTTATTTTTATTGAGAGAGAAAATTGGCTTTTTTTCTTATTCTCCCACTGTGATGCTTGCGATTAAACTCAGATTTCTTGGCAAAACAATTTTAATTTTCCCAATCAAAGTCTAGTAGGAAGGCAATTTTCAAAAACGGCACGATGAAACGGACACTAACAATGAACTTTTGCATAGTTCTGGTGACCAAAACAAATTAAACCAAACTGTTACCCGTCGTGTTCTGCCTATTATGTACTTATACAACTGCTATTTCTTAATCACACATGTAGTAATCCAAACATTATACAGTACACTGTATTAAATTTAAACAATTAATATTAAATCCATTAAGAAGTTTGAACTCATTACCATCTATTGAAGGGTGAGCAGCATAGAAATCTCTCCGTCGTTTCATTTCATCTGAGTAGGAAAACAACCCATTAGTGAATTTAAACTGAATTAATAATGCAACATTCAAAACAGAAGCCCCACCATGCCCAGTACTTACTTTTGAAGAGACCAGGTACCAGTTTGTACACAATGTCTTGCAGAGTCTTATCTGACCTGAAAGGCAAGCATCTCCATTAGTTGATCACTTGCAGCTTTGTGAATATTTTCAACAATTTCAGGTCCAACCGACACCTTTCAAACATTTAAGGAGTCAAAACAAATAGAAGAAAATTGTTCATTGTACGTCTATATTGTAAATACATGCACTTGCATACTATGCACATTATCTGTAGAATTATGCAACATAAAAGGTTTACAATACACTGCAATATCATCTTGACAAACGTACTGCTAATTTCTAGCTTGCTAATTCATTTTAAATAAGCTCAATGCAATCATCAAAATAGATAAGTTCATACAGCTTTAATCAGAAAAAAAGTACAATGCATGCGATTCTTAGAATCAGGAGTAATAACTTGTAGACAACTTTGCTTAAATCAATAAGAGGAAACAAGTGCATTGGAGTTAATGAATCCTACAAAGGACAAGAGATAATTATTCAACTTACCTAATATTAAGAAGAGGTTTGGTTTTATGAACCTGGACATCACAGATTGGACAATACTTGCTGGATTCCAAATACCCAACAATGCATGTTTTACAGACTGCATAAAAACCAAATAAAGCACAAAAACATACAAATGTAAATTAATTCATAAAACTGTATTTTGAGGTTAATAAAGCCTTCTTATAGAAAAGCATATAAGAAAATAAAATCACATTTAAAAATCCCAATAAAAATGCATTACTCGCTTTGGATAAATACATTCTGTTATCTCTACAAGTTTGACTGTATATTGAAATCTTATAAATAACCTGTCCCTATCTGGAAGTTATATCAGTTACTTACATGAGTGTAGACATTCTATTATGGTTGTTGCGTCTATGAAATATCCACCACAAAGTACACACATCAAATGAGGGTTTAGCTCCGTTATCTTGATCCTTGTTGTTCGATGCATTGTCATGGAAGGCAGTCCTAAAAATAAAATTAAAAAAAATCTATAAATATTACTATTCTTAGTAGGCCTAAAATGTGTTCTCTCTCTTTGATCTTTGTGCACACATACTATAATAAAATAAACATCTTATTACCAATATGATTACCAAAGACAGCTGCTGGATGGATCCTGCATTTCCTTTTAAATCCTTTCACAGAACGAGATGTACGGAGGCATGAATTTAAAAAGCCCTTGAGGTATTCACACATCCTCACAGCTGTTTCACTTAATTTAGTGAGAAGTTAAAAAGTTAACCCTCTTAATTGGTTTCATTATTTAAAAGTAGGATACACGGTGACCGTAAAGAAATCACAACGTATGCCTTTGCTGTTGAAGGTTTCTTACAACCTTTATTACATAGGAAAACATCGTTTTCATTAACAAGTGACAAAATCACTGATAATATAAGGCACTTCATTTCGTGTCGCTCAGGCGACCCTCATCACGCTACGGAGGTTCAACTTTGAAATGTACACCCTGGGAGACAAGGAAAACGTCACTAAAACAGCCGACTTATACGATATCCTAAAACAGACATCAAATCGAGACTTCAGTCGACTATGAAGCTCTACGAGAAATGGGGAGAAACGGTCAATTAACACGCCGCGTTGCAGCCGGGTTTATTTTCAAGACAACAAGCGCATTGCAACGGAGATGCACCGCACATTTGTCCTTGTCGGAGACTCTTGCCCTTTTATTACACCGTCCGATGTTCGGGAGCGGTAAACTCCCGTTTACTGGTGCCCAAACACGGTAATTCTTATCGTTGCTATAGCAACTTAGGTTATACTTGGCGTCTCGCCAAAGACTGAAAATAGAGCGGAGCTCCTACAGAAGAACCAGGCTCCTGCGGAGGCGATTGCACATAAACCCAGAATGTTACCCATCTTGCCCTCGTCCACATTGGTTGGGATTATCAACACATGCATGTTCGCAAGTCTGGCTGCCATTTCACAAAAGGTTCCCTTTAAACATACATTGCTTGAGGTGGATTAAAGGAAAGGGGGCCATTTCCACGTCGACATCCGGAGCAAGAAGCAGTTTTTTTTTGTACCCTCAAGATTTCTATTTGCAAAAGGCTCCTTCATGAAAGAAAAATATACAATTTCCACTAACGTAGCAAGGGGGGAAATGAATTTATGACTCCAGGGGCAAGCACGGCGATCCCAATTTACACCTAAAAGACCAGCCGATAACAAAACGGCTCGACCTTAAAAGCTTACATAATTCGTTTTCTCCTGTCCGCCAGTCAGTAAACTAGTTAAAGTGAAAGGTACGGGGTCCTGAACGCGCAACCAAAACCGCGAAAAAACACAAGTTTGTCCGATACAACTCCCGTCGTGAGTGTGGCAATATGCACATAGAGCTACCACTGGTTTTCACGGCGGCACTGTTGGGTCTTGAGTGCTCGAAAAACAAACGCAGCCTACTCTTGAAGAGAAAAAAAATGCACTAGAGCCCAGAACACATTCGCAATCTATTAGTCGGGGGGATTATTTACTATCACCTTTAAAATAGCGAGCGGTACTTGCACAGTATTTCCCAACCAAGAGCACGCAAATAGAGCGCAACCGAAGCCGTTATTTTTTCTAGCTTCCTGACAAACGTAATAATTTGGTGTGTGCTAATTCGGCAAAATAAAACTAGTTGTGCCCCGATACGGCTACCTGCGTGTACCTTGCATGACCAACAGCCAAAACAAATTAATGACCTAAACGAAATGGATATGAATATGAGTGTTGCTGCTATTTACGGGGCGCACAGAAGCTGACGAACGCTATTTGCCCAGCAACACCATGTTTTCAACACTCACGGAAAAACACCAAACTCAGGCTACGTTTCCCTGCACAATACGCTCAGAAGCTCAATGACACCGTGATGCTTTTCAGTTGGCTAATTAAGCTTTATCTATCAAGAGTCAAGCACATACGTGTTTCTTGAACGTTTCGGATAAAATACTACACTATTGTCTTTTTAACCAAGTGTGAGTCGAACTATCCACGTAGTCTTACATAAAACGTGTAAACTGAACGGGCTTTAAAAATAAAATATTTTTAATAGAGGATTGCATTCTTGACCCTCTGCCTGGTATACATCATTTTACGAAACGGTGAAGGCCATGCCTGCCTGTATAACATAAAGAGACTATTGCTTCAACAATCCATAAACGACATGATGTTTGCACAACTGCTCCTAGTTCTAGGGCTGCTTGGCATGAACTTAGTATATATTACATAGAACCGCAGAGTGTGACACTGTCGAGTATTTCAGCTAAGCAGAGCAGCAGAGCTACATTTAAGTCAAAACTACTTAAAGGTTTTTTTAAAAAAAATATTGTACTGCTCTGAATAATACGCGTAGAGGCCACGAGCAATTAGCTGCCGATGGCGGCGTAGGTCCCAGCATACACTAACACTTTCACGTATTATGTAACATTTTCTCACAAATACATTACCTTCCTTGGATGGTTATTGAATTCAAACCCACTGCTGTTCCTCACGCTGTGTATGTACTGTATGTTCTGTGTCTGCGGTTACATTTCCTCAATAAATTTGTTACAGCAGGTTGCATTCCTTCTCCACAAACACACGATCGTCACTTCAATTTTCAATTTCATTATTTTGAACGTTTCCTAACATTTAAGTTTCCAGTTGCCTGAATTACATACAGGCCTCCAATTTACGAAGAAAACATAGCTTTTTTAAAAAAAAACAACAACTCTGGAAGTCAGATTTTATGTTTTGCCCATGATTAAAAACCTGACAAGGTCAATGAACATATATGTAATCAAAATACAATTGTGAAACAAAGCCTGTATATGGAATGTGCATCACATAGAATCAAAACCCACAAGTGAAAACAAGAACAAGTTCTGAAATAATCTTAAACATTTACTATTTACACCTCTAGTAATAATGTTATTACCATTTATGTCAAGGTCGAACTGTAACCCATGATTCACCGGTGCGCTTATCATGCTCTGCAAAACGACGTCAAATCCAAAATAACACATCGTAAAATAATTCATAGAAACCTGACTTGTGCTATAGAGAACCCATTCTTCTGAAAAAGTTCAAAGGTTTACCAAACGTTTAGTTACTCCTGTAGCAAACTAAAGCATCAAATATTAACGTGCGAGAACCTCTCAGTCTCCTTATCGCCGATGTAGACATCAGTTGAATTGAGATTTGATTAGGGAGCCACCAGAACAAATACAAAATCCCAATGTAAAGAAACAGAGCGTTTCATCTTGAGAAGCACTGAATCCATCCGTCCTATAGCTATAGTAAAAAAAAAAATCGTTAACAAGTCCCGTTTTGAATCGCAGCTAGTTAACAGTAAGTCAAAAGATGGATCTTTAAACGGGTCAAGGCCAGAGTTTGCAAAACACACTGTAACTACATTAACCCCTTCTAGCATCCCCGGAGCAAAACAAAAAAGAAAGAATGTTTATGATCTGGAACAGTTTTGCCCCTTCACGTTCATCAAATGAATGGAAGCTCATGTCAAATACGGCCATTTGAAACGACATGGTTCAAGAAAACCAAACGACACTGGAAACAGACTGAGTTGACTTTTTAAGTCAACATGCAGTGGAACGAGAGTTTATTACAAAAGGTTTCTGACTACCGTGTGTTCAAAATGATTGGAAGGACTCGATTTTATATTTAATCTAAAAAAAACACACCTCAACACTGCCAATCGCCATCTTTGACATCAACACGCTTTCGGGTCCTCTACATCTTAAGTTCATAAAATCTCAAATTCATTACCTGTGGTAAACCTAAACACTTAGATAGATTCCCGTGACCCTAAAGATTCAATATCTATAAAATAGCTGAACTGTGTTAAGATATTCCGGTTAACAAAACAGTTTGAATCGAAGCTCTCTGAAACACTTGACCCATCTTGATCTGAATTCTGAGAACAGCCAGGTTTTCATCGAAGTCTAAACAAATTTCATGAACAGTTCGACAAACACCTTGTAACAAAACAGAAGTGTAAATATTTTTCTACAAGACAACTAATTCGACAGTACACAATAACAATGCCAGTAGAAGAATGGAACTAAATTTAAAAGTCTTGTACGCAGCGAAACTGTTAAGTCCGTGTGGTTTAGCGCACCGCTGTCAGAGCTTGCAACGAGCGGAGACCTACTCTCCTATTTAAGATGTAAAAACATCCATAGCATCCGCCTAATCCTTCCATAATTCCACTATTGGTAAGAAGAGAGACGGAATAATACATACCCAGAAACTCTGGTGCGGGTTGGTGAGATAGGCGATGGATAGACAATGAAAGTTAGGAGTCGATCAGTAGAAAATGAATGCGAGCCAAGCGGCCATCTTGAAAAGAACTGCAGACGCTGTCAATTGCAATAAGCGTAAAGCAGCACTGAGCTCATTTTAGTTACAAAAATCCTTCCTTCTCTCCAGGCTACAGCCCCGTGTGGCTGATAAGCATGGAGAAATCCAAAATTTAGAACTATTCCGGTCCAATTTCAGTGATCAGGCTGCACTACCTTTGTGGCGAGCTCTTAATTCAGTTGTTTGAAAAATGCAATGCTGATGGTTCAGTGGAAACTGACACCGTCCCCAAAATGGCTTGTAGTTCGACCGCCCCGCTCTGTCACGTGGTCTCATTCCTTAAGGGTGGCCTGGGAATTAGTGTCGGTGTAATCAGAGATTTATCAATCCCTAACCCTCAAAAATGCCATTGAATCTTTGTTTTCTTCCCTTTATTTGGCACCCTCAGAAACCATATAGTGTGTGTTGTAAACAAAAGGCTTGTATACGGAATTAAGCGAAAACCTCTTCAGACGCACTGTGAAAGGTAGAACCGGGGGAGAGAAACACGAACGCATGACGACCAGCTCTCCTCTTGCAACAAGTAAAAAAAAAGGGAAGAAAAAATATTGGGGTTAAAGGCTTGCGTGAGAAAGCCGAGGTTCTATTTGATTCTAACAATTTTTCTTTATTGCTACTCCCATTCTAGAAAGTTGTTTAAAATTGAGCACCGATGTCGATTTAGAGCAAATGCTGCATTTGTTAAAATACCAAGGTTTTATTTTCTCATGTAACTATTCGTCAAGCACTAGTTTAGTCAATTAACTAAATGTCTTTAGTAACCACCTTCTGCCAAAGGTTTCAGAATAAAGAATCAAGACTTAAATCTGAGTGGTAACGGTAATGTTTTTTATACTTAGAAGACAGCACACAAATTCAAATGTCCGAAGAAACCACTTGGAATCCACAACATCCCATCAAAGCGGGCTTTTCGGTTGGAGCCAGCAAAATACGATGTATACTCGTTGAAGTATTTGAACCTCGTTTTTGCATTGTTCTGTAACAGCAGTAGTTCCTATGGTAAATGTAGGGATTTTCAGCAAGGACACAACGTTGACTTCTTGGGTTTGCATGGATATTTTTCATCTATACACACATTTACGTGTTATTTACCATCTTCGTGCAATCTGTGGTGCTACCAGGGCAGACTGCTTACGTGTGCATTTAACAAACTTATCCACCGTGCTTTAAATAAGTCGTTTTGACATTGTGACGGCTTTCAGCTGCACATAGCAAAACGGATCCACTGCCATATCATGTTACCATTACATCTATATTCTAGGTTATACTTTATTAGTTTTCTATATATGTAAATAGGAGGTCTGCTGGCATATTTAAGGCACCTGGTCTCATAATCCGCGTGTTTAGAATATAGAATAGCCAGTACAGCATAAATAAGACGTTTGTAACTCTATGAAATCGATCTACTCAAAAGGATTTGAGCTTTATTAATGAAAACGCACAAGCATATTCAATGGTTTATTAAATTACCAGTCATCCCGAGATCTTCTCTCTCTCTCACACACACACAATGAATGATTTCCGTACTAGGAATGATTTATTGGAGTAATTTATTCATGATATAAAAAAGTTTAATCGTTCTTTAGTGCACTTCGCAAAGAACAAAACCGACAGCCAGTAAAAAATATACTTTCAAAGCGTCGAAATCAGCTCAGGTCCCATCAATCGTCGAACAGGGTCAGATGATGAGTCGGGCTCTGTAGTTGTCGTCCATTTCTTTACAGCTTGTGGTTTACATCTGTGTGGCCTTTTCGAGACTTTTTGCAGCGTCTTTCATCTTACCCAGCAAGTCCTAAAAATACATTCATATTCACAGCTTTGAAACGACACATGTCCACGTATACTACTAATTACATAGGCTTCGTGCCGCGTAATCTCACAAGGAAGTTACGTTAAAAACAATATTAATAAAATAATTTGGGCGGGTTTATTTTGTTGCTCAGGACCTTCCTGAACGTATTCTCAATAATAGGGACATAAATCGTAAAACAGTGCAGCACGTCCCTTTACGTTCTGTCCGCTGTGTCACTGTACATTCAATTTATTTAGAATCAAACATTACATTTTAGGACTTTAACCCTGTTCTTAACAAACTGACATAAAAGATCAGTTTAGCACTGTAGTCGCCCAAGAGCAATTTTTTCAAACGCTGACAGATTAAAGTATTAACATAATATTTTCAATAGAGAAAACAAAAACCTGATCATTTACTCTGTTAGCTTTTCCTGGCTTCATAAAACGAAGACGTAAAAGCAAATACACTGTTTTCAACAGTGCAAAGAAAGTGTAAAAAAGCCAAAACAGTTCAAGCCTTCTAATATCTTAAAATGTGTGTATTATAAAGCAAGTCTGTGTTTAAGATTTTAACGTTATCGTTTTCTTAATGTTGAAGGGAGAATCATCTACTTGTTCCCTTTCAGAACACCAATCTTCTGATACCATTCTAAACGCCCGATTGATAAATGTAAAGTGTCCCCAAAGTGTTTCACAAATGTTTAAAAACATTTCGGTTCTTTGTAAAAAAACTTCAAAGACAGCAGAAAACTTTTCATTTCAAGCTCGAAATCGTTCTATCGATTTTCCATGTCAAAAACACAAGGCCTAGAAACCGATTTTACAGCGACTTTAAATCTCCCCCCCCCACACCCCACACACACAACAACACACTTCAAAGTTTGCGTTTTAGGAATGAATTAATTTCCATTTAGTTTGTTTTGGAATTTTTAGATCATAAACATAATGGAAACGGCTCCAATGAACTACATGCTAGGATAACTCAAGCAGAAACTATAGGACAGGGGGTGTTTTTAATGAATCCAGTAAACTGAACCGAGTAAAAAACGGTTCAAATTGAACTTTACAATATGAACTATACATTCCAACTTAGACGTGACACCCCCAAATCAATCTTTAACCTTGGGGATCTCAGGTATGCTTAATCGAGTGTGTGGAAATAATACAACAGATCTGAAATGTCAAGTGATTAAGTGTAACATCAGAGGTCTAAGAATCATTCACACAATACCCATGAAATGTGCAGGTTTCCCCGATGTTTCTTCCGATAAAAAATGCTCCTTTCAAATTTGAGATGAGGTTATTTGTGTTGTCCTTCTTCACTGTGGAGATCTTAAAACTCTGTGCCATGATGTAAAAGAACAACTTAGGCGTTGCCATCATACATAATGTCAGGCTACTGCCTTCCGCTGCTGCTAATTTATATGCTGCTCGGATAAGCGTAACCTGTGTGTTGATCATAAATTCATGTCAGGGGTATCCCGCCTGCGCAACAAAAACCAAACCCCAACCCAACCCCCCCGTTAAGAACCGCCCTGGGAAAAACCTCCGCCCGGGAACCCCGAGGGGTTCAAAGAAAACCAAAAGGAAAAAAAAAATTAAGTCCGGGAAAAAAAAACACTTGCTTCGAATGTTTTTAGAAAAAGCTACTTCTGAAGAGTCATTTTTAATTTACACTCGTACAGTGAGATCGAATAATGTAAGGCGTTAGTTTGCGGTAATTATCCCAACTGACTTAGTTTGAAAATCAACCAAATCCATTTAGCCTAAGAGCAGAAATGTTAAAGTATGGCTTTTTGAAGCAAATTATCTGTCCATTGGAATTATAATAGACATTTAAGAAAAAAAAAAAGTTCGGTTTGAATGTACCTCAGCTTAATGCTGTTGTATATAATCAGTACTCTTTAACCGACGATCCCAAACTACATCGCGGTGAAAGCTTTTGAAAAATACCTTGAAAACTGGTTTAATTGAAGTAACTTTAGTCAAATGTCCATATTCTGTTCATTGTGTTGTGGGCTAAGGATTTGTCCGAAATCATAACCTCTGCAGTTTATATTCTATACCCTTAATTACAAGTAAAGGCAAGAACGATAAGCCAAATAGAACCAATAACCAAACCATATCAGGTTAAACCATGAGGTTTGCTAGAAGGCCTACCCAAATAATATATATCTTATATTCAGAATCGAAGTGAGGTAGGTATGAGCCAAATTTATTCAAGAATAGTGGACTGCACTTGAAGAAAATTTAACTAAAAATTTAAAAGGCGGTTAATTTTATCGCCACACAACTTCCGTTATTTTTCCAGCCTTACGACCGACAATATTTAATGGGTTCTACGATTCAGAAACCAGTCGCCCAAAATTATGCCATCGGACATTCTCAACTGGAGTGAAAATATTGAGTCCGATAATCATTCTGAACAAATAAACTCTTCGTTCGTGTTTTAATTGCTAGCTTAAATTAGCTGTAAATTTAACTACTTATACGAACAAAATCGCCCAGAAGATCAATGTTTAATTTTGTAGGCTGCCGTGAAAATCAGTATTTGTATTATACCCGAATATTTACCGAAGCAAAAGCACCACCTTAACTAATAGCACATACACTTTGCTGAAATAAATCAATTTTTGTTATACCTGCAGTTGCTCCATTGTGCAACTGAAATGAATTTCTTCCGGTGATCTTGCGCCGCTGTTCTGCAATGATAATAAAATTATGCAGACATTAAGGTATAAAACACAGGCAATACTAATTTAATAAATGTATATTCACAGAAAATATCATACCTCAACATTGAAGGTGATCAAATAAGACGGCTTATTAACTTTGTGGACGTGACTGTTCTAAAACCGAAGAAAAGTAACAGAATAATTAATCCAAAAACAGAAACTCATCTGCTGCTAAATTATTACAATATTCTTCAAGTTTTCATGGATACCTTTATCTGATACTCCAGGCGCCAAGCGACATCACAAATCTGAGGAGGGCATCTGCCTAAACTAAAACAATTAACACAATATTTACAACAGTTGGTAATACTGGCAATCATACCTAATTAGGTTACAGAGATTGTAAAATCTGTTAATTTCTAATAACTTGTGCTATATGCAATACACGATAACAAAATAGTAATTTAGTACACACTGCCAACAGATATACAAAATGTTAGTTACTGTTAAAAATGTTACATTGTACATTGTGCTTAAAATGCAAATGTTGTCAATAAATGAGAATGTTTTTGCTATATGCCAAACGTGAACAGTCTATGTAAAGCAAAGCAAATTTTCCATCTTGTAGAGAATTTATATTCCCTTGGTTTCCTAACACTAAACCAATTAGATAGGTTTGTTATAAAGTCTGCATGAAATATCTCTAAAAATTAGGATTATATATACATATGCTCATGGATGTAGAATAACACTGCTGGCACGTATCACAATTCAGCCAATTTAATACAATCAAAAATAGCTGATAAAACAACGTTTAAACAATTACGAAATACTTTGGGTACTTAGCAAGTTTTGATGAAGCATATAATTTAAATATCTTTCAAGCAAACGAAATGTGAATCGTGTAAAAAAGAAAAAAAATAGTGAGACATACCTTGCTAATAAGTGTTCTAAATCACTTTTGTTTTTCTACAACAGAAAAGGATTGCACAAATATTACCAAAACAAAACACTCATTTTGTGAGGACATGAATATTAAAACCGATGTACGTGTTAAGTAAACTTCAAACTTCAAACCTGGTATTCATTGCAAAACATGTCTATTCTTTCTGGATCATATTTAAGATCTTCAAGACACGTGCTGAAACAAAGCACAGAAATGGGGGGAAATTTGTTTTAAAATGGAGCTTCCACAATACAAAAAATAGTTTCAATTAGACTGTAAACGCCCGTTACCTAATCGTAGATTTGTCAGCGTTTTGCTTAACAAACTCCAGGATGCAGGTCGTTGTTGCTACATGACAGTGTTTTAACAATGTTTGGTCGACGTGTCTAAACTCAGGACCACCTGAAACGGAAGAAAAAAAACACTCCCTCCTTAAAATTTACAGTCTTATTTGACACTGACCGTTTGAAATGTATCACCACTCAACAACAGCAAATTTAGGTTAGATCAAAACCTGTAATTCAGAAATGTATATCGATGGTTTAGTGTTATGCGAAGTATAGGTAGTACCCATCAACATAGCGAGAAAACTATTTTACCACTACATTTGATATAATTTGAAATTAAATGTTAACACAAATTCGGCGATTACTGGAGCGCAAAATAGAAGCATGTGGCAGACTCACCAGCTAGCACAATTTTACAATTTACGTGTTTCGATATTTACAATATAATTCCTTCAACACAACACATCAAATTTCATAAATCTAGAAAGGGGAACCTTAAACAAGTTATCACTCGATAAAGTAGCATTTTTAGACTGTAGTCTTCCGTTACAATTATTTTGCGCTCTGACTGTCATTGTAACCACCGAGCTTTTGTGGAGATAACTTTTTTCAGGCGTTTGAAAGTTAACATTGCTTCCCAACCACATCTCAGCACTGACAGTCCAATGAATTAATCCAACTAATTGTTTTCAAATATGGAAACAGACTATAACTTTAAACCAGGTCTTCATACGAGAGATTGTTCTACAACTGTCAACGTTTAATATTGTCGGATATTGTTCTTTAGAAGACACTTGATAAAATCACGTAAACATTGACATTTTTCATGATAGTGATTTTAGTTCCCAGGTACACGTAATGAAACGGGATTTTACTTAACATCACGACAACGGGTAAGTGCTTTTCGCCACAGCGTTTGTAGAACAAAACCTACACAACAACGAATTACTTCCAGAAATACTCGATTATCACCACCCATAATATGTATTTTAAAAATGACCGTTTCGTATGTCTGCGCTAACGACGCACTAGGTACGCAGATTACATAAAACATGGGACCGAACACATCGCTTCGATAAACAGTTTTATTCGTTGCTCTAGTCTCATTAAAAACTGAAGAGGCTGTATCTCCGCTACTCGGGTCGCAAGGTCCGTTTTCTCTTGCTTACTCTTCCGGTATGAACTGTTAACTAGTTAGTTTTCTGTCTACAAGCGCTGTTGTTGGTTTGCAAATCGGCATCGCCGAAAACGTCACCACTCGAGCGCAACTTGCCACTGACAGCCGCAGGAAATGAGAAGGTTTGCCTCGAAAACAAAGGAACACGGAGCTGTCAAGTAACCACAAAACGCAGACACCCCGATAGCCAAGAACACAGTACAAACAAAACAAATCATAGCGATTACAAACTCGCACAAGATCGGTATATTTTCCGACAGCGGTTATTTAGGACTTTCATTGTTCAGTCGCCTGGTCCCATTACGATCCCGCCTGTATTTTGAGTTCATTGAGCAACCAATGTTGCCGGTACGAAAATGGCGTTTTCGCACCCTCAACCCGATAAACTGAAAAGTAGAGAACACGTTAAACCCATGCATTACGGTCCTAAAAAGCTCGATCGCAAGAAACGAGCCACTTAAGGCGTAAAGGCAAAACAAAGGGAACTCATTTACATCGCCCGCCGTTGCCGCAAATACGCGCAATCTACGAGCACACCTCTAAAAAGAGAGAACTTGCATAGGTATTCAAGAAGTCCTTCTTTCGATAAATACGCGTGAATCTGTCTTGACAAAGTCACAACGACACCGCTTTGTTGTGCGGTTATGGCCCTGTTCCTTGTCTGGGCAAGTGAAACCTCCACAAAGCAGGGAGCTTGCCTGCGCACACAAAGGGGAGGGATAGAAATCAGGCTCTCACCTAAGATCGCATGATCGGAGTGGGAAGAGAGCAGGCTCTGGAAGGCTACCTTAATAAACACCGTGAATGTTTTCGAGTCAAAATAGTCCGTATCCGTCAAATACTGAAGCCCCCTCTGCACAAACTCCGACAGCTCCATTGTGGTTGTAAGTGACCTCCGACACAGGCCCACGTGACAGAGGCTCAGCTGATCACTGCGGGTAAAAGCCAATTGAATCCCACAAGCTCGCGAAGTGAGTTGGGCTGCTGGGTCGCTTTCGCTAATGCAAGGATGATACACTCCAGTGCTAGCTAAACCAGATAAAACCCCCCTCTTTAGCGGGGATAAATGAAAAAAAAAAAAGGTTTTGTGCGTTGAGTTTTATTTTGTTTGCCTGACACATTACACGCTTCAGTAAGTGTAAATGTGGCGCACATTTTTTAAAGAATTATTATCACGTCCTGGCTTCCTGGGGTGCTATGTACATAGAATTTGTATGTTCTCCCTGTGTTTGTGTGGGTTTTCTTTGGGTGTCATGGCTTCCTTCCACAGTCCAAAGACATAATGGTGGGTTACCAGCATCTGGGAAAATTATCCCTGGTGTGATCGTGTCTTTGTGTGTCCTGTGATGGACTGGGATCCTGTCCAGGGTGAATATCCTGCCTGTTCCTTGCTGGGATTGGCACCAGTTCCCCAGCAACTCTGTATAGGATAAAGTGGTTAGAAATTCGACGGATTATTAAAATAATGCTTCCTGTTGGGCCACTATTTATTTTAGCTTTTTGTTCCCCTGAGATCTTTATGAGTTTCCTATATTGGCTATGGAATCAGTTATTGGATTAGTGTGTAAATAACCCCACGTTTTCTAAATATTTAAACTTGAGGATTTTGCATGAATAAAAAAAACGTGTGTGACTGTTTCTTTGGGACAAAGATATTCCTTGTGTTTATTCTACAGTTTGAATCACAAATAACAATACTAATAGAACACACTGGGAGTCCTCTTTGTTCACTGTTTCTCTCTTTATTAGGAGACCACCTTTACTAATGGAGCCAGTGTGATTTGAATCTTAGGCAGACTTGTAACAGTTGAACCAAAGTAATAATAATAATAATAATAATAATAAGGTTTACACTTATATAGCACTTTTCTGGACACTCCACTCAAAGCACTTTACAGGAAATGGGGACTGGATGATGCGATGGCAGCCAGAGTGCACCAGTAAACTCACCATTCACCAGCTATCAGTGTGGAGATGAACTGAGTGATGAAGCCAATATGTAGATGAGGATTATTAGGAGACCAAGATTGGTAAAGGCCAATGGGAAAATTGGCCAGGACACCAGGGGTAACACCCCTACTCTTTTTGAGAGATGCCTTTGGATTTTAACAACCACATCAAGTCAGGACCTTGGTTTTACATCTCAGCAACAACCTTAGTTTTTTCCCCAGGAGGTCTCCCATCCAGGTACTGACCAGACTCACAGCTGCAGAGCTTCAGTGGGCTGCCAGTTGTGAGTTACAGGTGAAATGGCTGCTGGCAAAAGTCCTTTTAATACCTCATATTTTTAAAATTGTCCTTTTACATTAGTCAGGTTTTTTATTTATTTATCAGACTTGCTCTTAATACAGGAGCTCCTGGGATCCTATTTTTGAATGCAGCCACCCCACAGGCTCAATTAAAAATATTTGTTTACAGGAGTTTTCTTACTTCTCTTTTAGAGCCTTAAGAGTTCTTTTAATAATGAAGGGTCCCCAGTTGTAATTTACTGATAATAGGACGGTTTCAGTGATTGCTTTGGGAGAAAATAGGGTCCAGATGGATTTTATAATAATGCTGGATAACCACTATAGGTCCCTGGGGGCTTTGTTAACATAAACACAGGCAGCAGTGTGGAGTAGTTCTTAGGACTCTGGATTGGAGAGTCATGGGTATAGGTCTCGGGTGGGACTCTGCTATTGTACTACGGAGCAATGTTCGTCACTCAAATTGTTCCTGCAAAAGGGCCTGTTGTGTAAATGTGTACTCTCCGGGTCAGCTGTTCGTTCCCATAATTCCTAGGAACTGCATGCTCTGAAAAAGTCACCATAATCCCGGAAGATGCTCCTCATAAAATATTGAAATAAAAGGGATGTACTGAGATCTCCGATCTCAGTATATCATATGTATCCTTTCGGCTATGATCAAGTGTAGTATTATATATCATATTTCAGTGGTTCTGATAATGACTTGAGGGCCCTGGTGAGAGATCACTCAAGGAGAAATCTGTACTATTTCAGATAAGCCATAAACACTTAACTTTTTTCACAATTTCTGTTTACTAGCAAAGAATGTAGGAGATTCCACTTCCTATATATCCACCCACAGATCAGAGTCAGTATGGAGTCTGTTTCCCGCAGGTCACGAGGAGGAAACTTTGAAGAGTTTGGTGTGACAAGTGCAGCTCTGCTCTGCCCTTGCTGGGATCTGATCACAGTTGCTTGCAGGCTCAGAGCGCACACAGCATCCCTCCCTAGACCTTTGGATCCCAATCCCGGAGCTGGTGACCCACACACCTGTTGGTGTTTGTTCCGAATTCTGCACTGTCTAGGTCTTTAGGGGGTTCCATCACTTCCGTATCATGATCGGTGCCACTGTGTCTTGTAGCATTGGCACAGGAAACAACGTTTGACATATTGTCCAATCCCACTGTGGATGCCAGGTGACCAGACACAACTGCAGGCTACAGCTTCCATATAGCTTGTGATGCGCTCGTGTGGAGACTTGCTAGAATAGCGTCTAGGTCTTGGGGTAGAATGAAAACTCTGCATCCCCACAAGAGTAGACCATCTTAGCAGTAAACCTCTGCACACGTGGGACAAACTGGATGAAGATTCTCAAATGATACCATATTACTCAATCCAGTTTCGCAAAAACCCTTCACTCCTGAGTGAAGTGGATCTCTTTCTGGCTAAACCTTAACCTGTTTAGCACACACTGGGGATCCTGTCTGATGTGGATCCAGCCTGGGAAAAAGAACCGCCTGGCAGAGCGGTATCCAGACTGGACTGTCGCTGGAGGGTTCTCCCCTTGCGGGGCTCTGTTTTTCTCTCTGGGGAGGTGTGTCCTAAAGGGCCCCCGCAGCTGCGGCTTGTCCTAAATTAGCCAGGACAGCTGTGGTTGTTAGGGCAATGTGTCATCCTTAATCCAGGGCTCCGCCTCCACACTGAAACCTCGCATAATGCCACATAGGCCTGTCACAGACACACACACTCACACTAGAGCCAGTTTTCCCAGAAGCCAATTACCCTACCAGTATGTTTTTGGACTGTGGGAGGAAACCAATGTGAAAATAGGGAAAAGATACAAACTCCATGCAGACAGCACCTCAGGTCAGGATCTGAACCAAAGGCCCCAGCACCGCAAGGCAGTAATGCTAACTGCTCCACTGTGCCACTCACACTTATAATATCTGAAATGTCTTCATACCAAACACAACGGAGAGCTCTTTCTCTAACTTCCTGGTTGTTTAATAAGCAAGTCCTTGATTGAAACCTCAACTCCTAGATTGCTTTTTCCTCAACAACAGGCTCAAGGATGCAAATTCAAGAAGTAAAATAAGCAAGAAACAATTACAGGTCCAATGCATACTCAAATATAACTTAAAGCCAATTCAATTCTGGGGATAAGATTCCTCTTTAACAGCTTGGAGTTTGTCTTCATCATGAAGAAGACATTATCTACTGGATATTCCAGGTGACTTCTAGTGCTCTATGTTAGCATTTATCTCTAAGCTCACACCAGCCTCTGTAAACATCTTTAGCACTTCTTCCAAGCTGAACAGACGTTCTTCTTCTGTCTGGCTTGTGATGATGACACCACCTTCGCCCCACCTGGAAGTCCTTGACTCCATGACTCTCTGGAAAGTTACACATGCCCATATACCATAATGACTGCTGGTTGCAATAAAAGTGTCTTGATGAGTCATCCAATTCCAACTGCTGGTAGGTGTGACTCATCTTGAACTTGGCATATGATTCACCTCCTGCTAGCTTAGCAAAGAGGTCATCACTTGTGGGAATGGGGTATTTGCAGCTTTGCCCCTTTGTTTTACTGTTACTTAACTGTTAACTGAAGTGGAACCGCTTCTTCGTTGACTGGCATGAGGAAGAACAGTCACTACTTTGCATTTACTTTACCTGTCATTTTTCTTTATATTCTTGTAAAATTCTATATAGCCCAATAAAAACTGCATTTTATACAGCCAATGTCTAGCACTTGACACTTGACCAGACTGTCTCAGCTCCAGTCCGGAAGGTCTGCAGGGTCTTCTCCTTTACAATCAAACAGATCTCTTAATCCCCCTGATTGAACTAATCACCTGTTAAATTGAAACCCTTTTTCTAGTTTTCAAAGTGTTGACGAATTAAAGATCTAGAAAGTATGAATCAGGTTTGTGTCTTCCTCAGGGGACTATTGCTGGAGCCTTTTTGAATAACAGGACCCCCAGAGTCTCTATCACTAGAGCTGATGCAGCTCTGATAGAACGATCAGATGACTTTATTAAGTCCCATGTCCTATAGCAGGAGTCCTCAAGGGTCTGAGGCTGCCCTCATTTTCATGCCACCTCTGCCTTCAATGACATGATTGACCTAATTATTTGACTAATAAGTTGTTTCAAGTCTTAGTTAGTTGTTAATTGAATGATATGTGCAAAACCTGCAGCAATCCAACCCATCAAAGATCAGGCCGTGATAGACTACTTTAGAAGATTAAAGAACAGACATACCTGTTGTTACTACAGGGAATGAGAACAGGGCTCTTGGTGTCCTAACATATACTGTACAAGCAAAGTACGGTATAACACGCACATACAGTAATAATTATGGCTTGGGTGGCACTGATCATGAAGAAGTAGTCAATAAAAGAGAACAGTTTTTTTAGATCACTGGTTCACAAACCCAGTCCTGGGTGACCACTGTATATACTGGTCTTCATTCCAAATGAGCTGCTAATCACTGGTATTAATTGATACCTTTAGCTGATATCCATACTTGCTCAGACTTTTGTTCATCTCTTTCTGTATTCAGCCCATGGTTTCAAAAATACTCTACTTCAAGTATAAAATTCCAACAAACTCATCTTACATAACTTCCTCTCAACCTGATTGTAGTATCTAAGAGTTTATTCCTTTATTTCTATCTTAATAACTGTTAATAAGG